ATATATATATATATATATATATATATATATATATATATATATACACATACACACACACACACACACACACATATATATCCTATGTTGGGAAATAAACATATGATCCTATATTGAGAAAGTCGTTATGTTTTAGTCCTGTTTAGGTAAATTATCCTAAAATTTACCATGTTTGGTTCATGTTTTTCATTACATAAGGCCCGCCCAATGGGGAGTTCATGGTGTTCTTTTGCACAAGGCCTCCCAATTTAGGGGGCCCATCACTTATATGCTCAATTCATTTAAATGTGTTAATATTTCATTCCTGTTAAAAGATTTGATCTTTTTTGCATTGTTTTTTGTAATTTCAGAGCTAATTGTTTTCTCTTTTCATTTTGTTACTTAAAAATTAGATCTTTCAGTTATAAAAATTGATTTTGTATAAATAATTAATTGAATTATTAATTTTAATTTTTAGTTTTTTTGTCAAGAAGTGAATTGACTTTTTTTGGAACTTCAATTCATTCTTAAACAAATGTTTGGTTTATAACAACTATTTCAGTTTTAAAATTCTGATATGTAAGCTGATTTTCAAATCACAAGTAAATCATTTCTTGTAAAAAAAGAATCATTTTTTATTTTGCTTTTTTAATTTTAAATTCCATTCTTCTTACAAGTAAACTTATCATGGGGAACTTTACCTTAGTCTTATTTTTCAAAATTAATTTGAGTCATCCTCTTTTGAAAAAAATGAAATTAATTATATTATGTTTAATGAAATAATTAATATTAGGGAGTAGTATTTTTGCTTTATCAAAATATCTAATTTTAACATAAAATTTGGAACCTAAATTATAAAATTGCACAAGGCCTTACAGAATGATTGGGCGGCCCTGATTACATACCTAAATAAATACTTTGTATTTCACTACAAGAAAGTACGAGAATTGCAACAGAAATCTACCACGGAGTTATATCCGTAGCAAATCTACCACAGATCAGCGACGGAATTGAAGTGTTATGAAAATTAAGAAATATTTGCTGCAAACTTTTTTTCCGTGGCAAATCTGCCACAGACTATATTTCCATAGCAAAATCATGCGAGCCAAATGAAGGACCTATAATAAGCAATAATGGATTTTAGTATAGAAATCTAAAATTAAAACAATATGGCCATATCCCAGAAAAAACGAGTGGAAAGAGAGAAGATTTGCTGCTCGCACACACCTCGAATGCCGCCGCCACCCCCGCTAGATGCCCTCGCCGTCGGCTCGCCTCTTCAGTGTTTCCAGAGTTTTCTCAGCCCAGCATCCCCAAGCA